CTGGTCCCAAACTCGTGACCTCAAGTGACTCACCTGCCTTGGCCTAAGTGCTGGGATTGTAGGTGTGAGCCACTGTGCCTGACCTATTATGAAACTTTTAAAGTGATTATCTTTTCAGTGAATCTGGTATTTTGGGGTTTAGTCATTTATAAGGTACTGACACAACTTTTTATTTTTCAAAATTTATTCTAATACCATTATTGGACAGAATGTCCTTTTATCACTGATTTGAAATGGTAACTCTGTTATATACTAAATTTCTCACAGTGTGCATAGGTACTTTCTGTTGTGTCATTGATTTTAGGGGAGAGATCTATTTTTGCACATACCACTATTGGTTTAATTATTGTAGTATTATAGTTAACTTTGATATATGTTATGGAATGGCTTGATTCATTATTTAATTTTTTTTTTTTTTTTTTTTTGAGATGGAGTCTTGCTCTGTCATCTAGGCTGGAGTACAGTAGCGTGATCTTGGCTTACTGCAACCTCTGCCTCCCGGGTTCAAGCGATTCTCCAGCCTCAGTCTCTTGAGTAGCTGGGATTACAGGCAAGGCGCCATCATGCCTGGCTCATTTTTATATTTTTAGTGAAGACAGGGTTTCACCATGTTGGCCAGGCTGGTCTGGAACTCCTTACCTCAGGTGATCCATCTGCCTTGGCCTCTGAAAGTGCTGAGATTACAGGCCTGAGCCACTGTGCCCGGCCTGTTCCTATATTTTATAATCATGTGCTTTTGTTAATGGGGTCTTCTCATAGACCTATTATATACTGTTTTCTTTTTGTATGTTTAAATCAGACTTTCCACCTTACTAATAATTTACCTGTCTTAGAATTTTTAAGGTAGATAATGTCATCTGCAAGTAGCAGTTTTGCCTCTTCTTTTCTATATCTTATTTATTTATTTTATGTTTTCTGAGACAGAGTCTCACTCTGTCACCCAGCCTGGAGTGTAGTGGTGTGATCTCGGCTCACTGCAACCTCCGCCTCCCAAGTTCAAGTGATTCTCCTGCCTCAGCCTCCTGAGTAGCTGGGATTACAGGCACGCACCACCATGCCTGGCTAATTTTTGTAGTTTTAATAGAGATGAGATTTCGCCACGTTGGCCAGGCTGGTCTTGATCTCCTGACCTCAGGTTATCCACCCACCTTGGCCTCCCAAAGTGCTAGGATTACAAGTGTGAGCCCCTGCACCCAGCCTTTTAAATTTTTTTAATTTTTTAAATTTATTTTATTTTTTATTTTTTTTTTGAGACGAAGTCTCGCTGTCCCCCAGGCTGGGGTGCAGTGGCGCGATCTCGGCTCACTGCAAGTTCTGCCTCCTGGGTTCACACCATTCTCCTGCCTCAGCCTCCCGAGTAGCTGGAACTACAGGTACCCGCCACCACGCCCGGCTAATTTTTTTTGTATTTTAGTAGAGACGGGGTTTCACCGTGTTAGCCAGGATGGTCTCAATCTCCTGACCTCGTGATCCGCCCGCCTCAGCTTCCCAAAGTGCTGGGATTACGGGCGTGAGCCACCGCGCCCGGCTGCCTTTTTTATTTTTAATCATTGGCTAGGATTTTCTAGACGGTATTGAATTATAGCAATAGTCTCTTATCTTAGTGAAATATAATAGAAAAATTTCTGTCAATTAAAGAAAAAAACTTTTAAAGAATTAAAATTAGTGTTATTCAGAAATGTAACTGAGACCGAGTGCAGTGGCTCACGCCTGTAATCGTGCCACTGCACTTCAACCTGGGTGACAGAGCGAGACTCCGTCTCAAAAAAAAAAAGAACCTCAACCAAAAAAAATGGAACAAAAGAAAAAGAACTGTGATAAGTATTTGGCACTTTTTTTTTTTTTTTTTTGAGGCACATTCCTACTCTGTTACCCAGACTGAGTACAGTGGTGTAATCACGGCTCACTGCAGCTTTAACTGCCCAGGCTCAAGCAATCCTCCTACCTCAGCCTCCCAAGTAGTTGGGACTGTAGGCACACACCACTATGTCTGGCTCATTTTTAATTTTTTTGTAGAGACAAGGTCTCCCTATGTTGCCCAGGTAGGTCTTGAACTCCTGTACCCAAGCAATCCTCCCACACTGACCTTTCAAAGTGCTGGGATTATGGCATGAGCCACTTTGCCTGACTGCAGTCATTTATTTTCATTTATTTTTCATTTTTTGAGTCAGTGTGTTCCTCCATCACCCAGGCTAAAGTGCAGTGACATAGTCACAGCTCACCGCAGCCTCAACCTCCCAGACTCAAGCTGCACTTATTTTTATTTAGTCTTCATGATAATACTCAGAGGCAGATGTGATTATCTCCCTTTTTCAGATGATAACATTGAGACTTAGTAACCTACAATACAAAGCTGAGTGTGTTTTTTTTTTTTTTAAGAGACAGAGTCTTACTCTGTCGCCCAAACTGAAGTCCAGTGGCTCAGTCATGGCTCACTGCAGCCTTGAACTCCTGGGCTCAAATGATCTTTGTGAGTAGCTGGGAATACACTATGCCTGGCTAATTAAAAAAAATTTTTTTTTAGAGACAGGGTCTTGTTCTGTCACTCAGACTGGCCTTGAACTCCTGAGGCGATCCTCCCACCTCAGCATCCTGAGTAGGTGGGATTATAGGCGCAAGCCACCTTGCTGAGCCAAAACTGGACCTTGAACTTCAAAGAGATTTCTCTTTTCCCCTTATTACATTGACAAAGCTTTATAACATTGCTTTTTTACTTTATTGTCAAATTCATATTTCATAATTGTTATTTTTGAGTTCACTATCTTTTTGATTATTAAAAGGTGGAAATTGCTTTATGACTTTTTATAGTTAATAATTTGGGAGGTGATTCTTTGAGATTATATGAATACTCTAGTCCCCCAAAACATTTTGCCCAATGGTCTTACCATTCATGGATAATCTTGCCTAAACCAATTATTATAATGGTTATTACAAATAAAAGTATTTTTTCTGAATAGTCTAATTTAGGAGAAAAACTTACACTGAGGTAGCGGAAGGACTGAATTTGATTCTTTTGGGGGTTTATTTTTTAAAAGAATTAGTCCTAAGGAAAAACTTTATAATAGATTCTATATTTTAGAATATAGGCACATTGAAAGCAGTTTGTCTTCTGAAACTCAATAGCAAAATTAAAAATGCTTAAAAAAATTCAGCTAAAACCATATCTAAATTCACCATTTTGGGAATCTTTGTGATATAGGAGACTATATTCTGTTGAAGATCAGTGGTAAAATAATTTGTGCTAATGCTGAAGTTAAACTAGAAAAAAACATCATGCATGCATAATTTGTTTTATACCTTTAGATTGTAATATCTTTATTTTGCAGCTCATTTTTAGCTTTGGTACTGTAACAAGGATCTGGTGATTGTGGAATGTTATGAACATAGTGGTTTCGCAATTACTGAGAGAAGTGTTTGTATAAAACTCCCTTGAATGTTTTAGTTCCTGGAACTTAAGGAGTGGTAGTTGATAAAGCATAACTCCTTCATTGAGTCTCTGATGGGTGTCTATACTTGAACTTTTTTTTTTTTGAAACAGAGTCTCACTTTCTCGCCCAGGCTGGAGTGCAGTGACGTGATCACGGCTCACTGCAACCTCTGCCTCCTGGGTTCAAGAGATTATCCTGCCTCAGGCTCCCAGGTAGCTGGGATTATAGGCACCCACCACCAAGCCTGGCTAATTTTTGTATTTTTAGTAGAGATGGTGTTTCACCATGTTTGCCAGGCTGGTCTTGAACTCCTGACCTCGAGTGATCCACCCGCCTCAGCCTCCCAAAGTACAAAGTATAGCACCTGGCCTATACTTACACATTTTTTTTTTTTTTTTTTTTTTTTTTGAGATGGAATTTCGCTCCTATTGCCCAGGCTGGAGTGCAATGGCTCAATTGGTTCACTGCAATCTCCGCCTCCCAGGTTCAAGCGATTCTCCTGCCTCAGCCTTCTGAGTAGCTGGGATTACAGGCATGCACCACCACACCTGGCTAATTTTGTATTTTTAGAGACAGGGTTTCTCCACGTTAGTCAGACTGGTCTCGAACTCCCAACCTCAGGTGATCTACCCGTCTCGGCCTTCCAAAATGTTGGGGTTACAAGCATGAGCCACTGCGCCCGGCCTTATACTTACACTTTCAAATATTACACAGATGTTTTAAAAGTATTTGTATGTTCTGATAAGTGTTTTTTAGCTTTTGAAAAGTAAAATTTATGTAAAAGCCTTGCTGTTTACAAATTTTTACCTATGTGTTAATTTTAAATGTGGACTTTGATAAGGAAGTTATATTTTCATGATATCCAGTGTAACTAATTTTTTTCCCACTTATTCAAGAAAGATAATTTTACACTTATTCTTTGACAGAGAAATTCTGTAGAAATTTTCTTCTTCTAATTTAATTCCAGAATACATTCTTTCAACCCTATGCCCTCACACTAGTAACCTTGAGGGTTCTTTGAAAGAAAGATTGCTTTAAAGCAAGCAATTCTCTTTTGTCATTAAAATAAACTATTTTCTATTTTTATTTTTAAAAACTATTTAAAACAGTATAATTATTCAAGTGTATATATATGTATTTGATTTTTTTGTTTTTATTTTTTTTTTGAGACAGTCTCCTCTGTTGCCCAGGCTGGAGTGCAGTGGTGTGATCTTGGCTTACTGTAACCTCTGCCTCCCATGGTCCCAGCCTGAGAAAGGATCCTTCCACCTCAGCCTCTTGCTAATTTTTTTTTGTATTTTTAGTAGAGACAGGGTTTCACCATGTTGCCCAGGCTGGTCTTGAGCTCCTGGGCTAAAGTGATCTGCCCAGCTCAGCCTCCCAAAGTGCATGAGCCACCATGCCCAGCTTGATATTTTAATTTTTACTTTAATGAAATCATTTACTGGAAGCAGTGCATGTTGATGCACACACAAAATGACTGAAGTTCATCAAATTGTCAAGCATTCAGTAATATGTAGAACATCATTATTTTTAATCATTTTCAAACTTAAAACTCCTTTTCTTTTTCAGGGATATCATGATAACACATTTTGAACCTTCCATCTCCTTTGAGGGCCTTTGCAATGAAGTTCGAGACATGTGTTCTTTTGACAATGAACAGCTCTTCACCATGAAATGGATAGATGAGGAAGGTGAGTGGTAAAGGCAGGGCTGCCTGTGTAAGCATTTTATTTAAGATCTTATTCTATCATTTGTTCTAAAAATATAGTAAGAGTCCTAAAAAGTTTAAGAGGAAAGACTATTAGAAATTTGATGTCATTCTTATTTTTTCTTAAAGTATTTAAAAGAATACTGAAGAGTACAATCTTTGTTTTGCCCCTTTTATGCCAAAATGATGTGAAAATAACTTGACCGTTTTTTATTTTTTTTGAGACAGAGTCTCTCTCTGTTGCCCAGGCTGGAGTGCAGTGGCCTGATCTCAGTTCACTGCAACCTCTGCCTCCCAGGTTCAAGCAATTCTCCTGCCTCAGCCCTCCGAGTAGCTGGGACTACAAGCGTGCGCCACCATGCCTGGCTAATTTTTGTATTTTTAGTAGAGACGGGCGTTTCACTATGTTGGCCAGGCTGGTCTCAAACTCCTGACCTCATGATCTGCCCACCTCGGCCTCCCAAAGTGCTAGGATTACAGGCATAAGCCACCTTGCCCAGCCTAACTTGACTTTTTTAAGCATGAGGTAAGCATCTCATCAAATAGTGTGATATTTTACTTTAATTTTGTTTTTTATTTGAATTAAATTTTTGTTTTTTGTTTATTTATTTATTTATTTAGAGACGAAGTCTCGCTCTGTCACGCAGGCTGGAGTGCAGTGGCGTGATCTCGGCTTACTGCCAACTCCGCCTCCCGGATTCACACCATTCTCCTGCCCCTGCCTCCAAAGTAGCTGGGACTACAGGTGCCCGCTACCATGCCCTGCTAATTTTTTGTATTTTTAGTAGAGACGAGGTTTCACCGTGTTAGCCAGGATGGTCTCGATCTCCTGACCTCATGATCTGCCCACCTCAGCCTCCCAAAGTGCTGGGATTACAGGTGTGAGCCACCGTGCCCAACCTTTTTTTTTAATTTTTAAAGACAGGGTCTTGCTAAGTTGTCCAGGCTGGTCTCCAACTCCTGGCCTCAAGTGATCTTCCCACTGTGACCTCCCAAAGTACCGGGATTACAAGCATGAGCCACTGCATTCAGCTTCACTTTATTTTTTTAATTTAATTTTTTTTTTTTTTTTGAGACAGAGTCTGGCTCTGTCGCCCAGGCTAGAGTGTAGTGGCAGGATATCAGCTCACTGCAACCTCCGCTTCCCAACTTCAAGCAATTCTTGTGCCTCAGCTTCCCTAGTAGCTGGGATACAGGGGTGCACTACCACACCCAGATAATTTTCGTATATGTAGTAGAGATGGGGTTTTGCAGTGTTGCCCAGGCTGGTCTTGAACTCCTGGCTTCAAGTGATCTGCCCACCTAGGCCTCCCAAAGTGCTGGGATTACAGGTCTGGGGCACCACACTCGCCCGCCAGCTTCACTTTAATTTTGAATATGTGTTGTCTTACATTTTAAGAGATTACGTGTTTTTAAGCTGAATATTACCTTAAAGAAAATTTATGGAATGAAAGTGATTTTGACAATCATTATTTCAAAGTAGCGGCAGAAACCTGATACCTCAGTGACTTGTACTCAGAAAACATTTATCATATATGTAGGCTTATGCCTGTAATCCCAGCATTTTAGAGGCTGAGGTGGGAAGATTGCTTGAGGCCAGGAGTTCGAGAACAGCCTGGGCAACATTGTGAGACCCTGTCTCTACAAAAAGTTTTTAAAACTTAGCTGGGTACGGTAGCGGGCACCTGTGGTCCCAGCTACGTGGGAGGCTGAGGTGGTAAGATTGCTCAAGTCTAGAAGGTCAGGGCTGAAGATGGGCCCTGATTGTGCCACTGCACTCCAGCAACAAAGCAAGCAACTCAAGACCCTGTCTCAAAAAAAAAAAAAAAAAAAAAGGAAAAGCAAAAAAGAAGCAAATATCTGTGTGCTAAGGACAGACATTTCCTATCTTCAAACCCGTAGTCTGATTGGGAGATGGACACATGTGTTACAAATGTGATAAATTCTGGAACATAAACGCATCGGGGCCTTGAGGAATACAAAAGAAGACACATCTGTAATACATCTGCAGTGTTTGACCTAAACCTATAACAGAGTAAAAGTTTTTGAGGTAGAGGAGGTGAGGAGAAAACCATATAGGCTGAAGAAGAATACATAGAAAGGCACAGGAATGTGAAGAACATGATGAGTGAAAATCTGTAATTCACTGTATCTGAAGTATGAAGTGATGAGGTATGAGTTTGGGCTAGACCCTCGCTACTCAAAGTGTGATCTACTGGACTTGTTAGAAATGGGGACTCTTAGGTCCCACTGCAGACTACTGAATTGGCCTACAGTTTAACAAGATCCACGGGTGAGCTGTATGAATACAGAAATTTGTTTGAGAAGTGTGAGACTAGATCCCCAAGAGCTTTGCAGATCACATTAAATTTTATTTTACATGACTGTTGTTGAAGTCTAGTTAAAAGGTACCCTAAAGGAAGGGTGGCTTGGGGGTGAGGGATAAAGGCCTACATATTGGGTACAGTGTACACTGCTCAGGTGATAGGTGCCCCAAAATCTCAGAAGTCACCACTAAAAGAACTTGCTCATGTAACCAAACACCACCTACTCCTTGAAAACCTATGGAAATATTAAAAAAAAAAAGAAGATACCCTAAATAGACTACTTTTGTACAATAGTTTTCTGTTAATTGTTATACAAATAGAATTTCATTTTAAGGAATGTCATTATAATATTTAGCTCAATATTTGGGATAATTTCTATCTTCCCTGATATAAAGAGCTCTGGAAAGTCATTATTGAGGCTCCAAGCTATAGGTAAGTGCAAACACATTCTCATTTTTTAAAACAGTGTTCCTGAAGTAATTCATGTTCACTGTTCAGGAAAAAAAGTAGTGCAAAAAATTATGAAATGTAAAAAGAAGCCCCCTGTTTTTCCTTTTTTCTCTCTCCTCCCTCACCAATTCCAATTGTAAGAGAAGAATAGCTTAGTATATATCCTTCTATATATTTTCTATGCATTTGCAAACATGTATGTTTCTATAAATTCTTTATTAACAGTTTTATTAACATGACAAATGATATACAGCTGATATTTTGCAGTCTTGGTGGACATGGGGAGCTTGGGGCTCAGTGCCACCCACCTTGGCCCTCCATGGCCTTTAAAAAAAAATTATATGGGACCGGGCATGGTGGCTCATGCCTATAGTTCTAGCGTTTTGGGAGCCCGAGGTGGGTGGATCACCTGAGGTCAGGAGTTCGAGGCCAGCCTGACCAACATAGTGAAACCCCATCTGTACTGAAAATACAAAAATTAGCTGAGCGTGGCGGGTGCCTGTAATCCCAGCTACTAGGGAGGGTGAGGCAGGAGAACCGCTTCAACCTAGGAGATGGCGGTTACAGTGACCTGAGACTGCGCTATTGTACTCCTGCCTCGGTGACAGAGCGAGACTCCATTAAAAAAAAAAAAAAAAATATATATATATATATGTATATATATGTGTGTATATATATGTGTGTATACATATATGTACACACATACACACAAATTGTTATTCAGTGTTTTCCTTTATAGTATGCACTGGACATTTTTTTCAGTTTGGTGTATTTCAATTTCCATCATTACTCTTTTTTTTTTAGTACTGCATAGTATTACATATTATAGATGTTTCTTGATTAATCCCTTATTGATGGACATTTGGGCTATTTCTAGTTTTTCACTACCATAAACAGTATATAATGATTTTTTTTTTGTGACAGTCTCACTCTGTCGCCCAGGCTGGAGTGCAGTGGCTTGATCTCTCACTGCAACCTCCTCCTCCTGGATTCAAGCAATTCTTGTGCCTCAGCCTCCTGAGTAGCCAGGATTACAAGCATGTGGCACCATGCCTGCCTACTTTTTGTATTTTTAATAAAGATGAGGTTTCACCATGCTGGCCAGGCTGGTCTTGAACTTCTGGGCTCAAGTGATTCACCTGCCTTGGCCTCCCACAGTGCTAGGATTACAGGCATAAGCCACCACTCCCAGCCTTATTTATTGATTTTTTAATATAGAGGCTGGGTTCTCACTATGTTGCCCAGTCTAGTCTTGAACTCTGGCCTTAAGTGAGCCTCCTGACCCAGGCTTCCAAAGTGCTGGGATTACAGGTGTGAACCACTATGTCAAAACATATGTATATCAAAACATCATGTTATAAACCACAAATATAATTTTTGTCGATTAAAAAATTCAACTAGTTTTTCACACAACTACATGAAATGAGAGGATTTTTTCATTCTTGCCCTTACCAACCTTAGTTATTATGAATCATTAACATTTTTAAAAATCAGTAAGTGAAATGCTAACCTGGTATTTTAAATTTTGCATTAAGAGGAAGGTTGAGTATCTTTATCTTTTTGACCTACTCTATCACAAAGATAGTTTAAATATGGTTACTTATAAATTTCATGACTGTCTCACAGTATGTCTTCAGCCAGAAAATGAGACTATATATAATTTAGCACAGTGTGCAACTTATGCTTAGCATTCAATAAAATGCTTCTTATAAACGAATATTATTCTCATTTTAATCCTGTCCTGATCATTTCATACCATTTATTTGCTGATTAGAGTTGTTTTTCAGTCACTGGTTTTCAAACTGCAGCGCATGTAGGAATCACTGGACAGTGCTTTTTATTAGAAGTACTTAGTTTAGCGATAGTCCATTGAACATTTTTATAATACCTTTGTATTATCCTTGCCTGGAGAGTTCTGTTCCCAGATTGTCACCTCGCTGTCTCTCATCATTCAGGTTTTAACTTCTTGTCATGTCCTCCAAGAAGCCTTCCTACCTCCATTCACTTTGTATCTTCTTACCGTGTTTTTTTCTCTTGTTTTTCTGTTTTTGGTGGGTTTTTTTGGTGTTTTTTTTGTTTTTTTGGTATGGTAGAATGTAAACTCCATGAGAGAAGAGATCTTGTCTGTTTCGTTCACGTTGGAGCTGCATGCCTAGAGCAGTGCTAAATAATATGCTCAAAAAATATTTGTGACTGGGTGCGGTGG